GAAGCATTGCGAAATTCTATTACGTGTTATTCTCGATTTCTTTTCATCGATGAAGGTTAAAATTGTCGATAACAAATATCCCGAAACTTAAAATAAAAAGGACTACTAAGTATAACGGTTATTTGTTACAATCGATTACATAAAATATTGATGATATACTTTACTGAAAACTAGTTATAACTTTTATTTATTGATGAAAATATTTAATCGATTTTTTTATACCAAATTAAAAAAAATTATAGTGATTAATTGAATTGATTGATAGAAAATATCGATTAACTTTATCTCGATATAATCACAGTCACTGTTACTTTTGAATCACAGTAGCAGAAGTAAAAGGGACAGAGAAAGAGCAATTTTTACCACCTCTAGCACAGACTATTTGAAAAGTGTACCAGTTGTGCGCCTAAACCCAAATTCTATTTTAAAAGTACTTAAAGTAACTGGATTGATATACAGTTTGTTTAATTTAGCAAGATTATCAAAATTAGGGAGAGGTAAAAGTAGGCGTTACTTTTGCAGCTGTTTTCGGATACATTATTGAACATAACGCCTACTTTCTACTCATAACTTTCCACTGGGGTTTTCAAGTCGTTCGCGAGGTACTACTGGCCGATTTATGTCATTCAGTTTAACGCAAAATTTGATAAGTACTTAAATTAAGAAGACAATAAAAAAAACAATTGCTTCATCTCTGAAAGTTAAGGAAATGCAATATTCGTGTTTCATACTTATGAAATAGACGGATAAGTATTCATAAGTAATTATTTTTAAGTGAATACAGCCACACCGTAATAGAATAGAGTGAGACTTTTAAATAGTATTCTTACTTTTGAAATAATAAGCCTCTGAAGAGGTTCCCAAAAAATTGCCTATGACGACGGTTTTTCTCATCGACATGGCGGGGTATTGTGAAAAGTCTTCAACTAGCCATAGTCACGTCTCGGTAAAACCTCAGTAAGCTATGACACTGCCTTTGCTTGCAAGACGGACAACCATCAGCTCCTACATCAGAAAGCCTCCACACTGTTTTTTATAAATAGTTTGCGCAAGTTACAACGACATCAAGCAACCAGACTTCAAAAGTTTCATATAAAAAAAAAAGATATTTTTTTGATTTTCTTTGTACTTACTTACCACCATCGAAAATGGTTAGCAAATACTTCAATAAAAATGCTTTTACATGCAAGGCAGACTTAGTATTATTTGCTTTAAAAGGATATATAATACATATATTTTTTAATTTAAGGTGGTAGGTAGCACATAAATATATCTATTACGTATACCACAGAGATGTCAATTGCTCCGGACAAGCTAAAATAATTAAAAAAACGGTAATTAAATACAATGTAAATTTTGCAAATATTTGACTACGTTTGCTTGCTTTTTAATAGGTATAGCATGACAATAGTACTATAAAGTGGTGAATTATATAAGCCTACAAATTATTTAGAAAGAGTGGTTGATAAATATCTATTAATTTGAAATATTTAAACCAAGAATCACGATTGAAAGACTACCACTTTAAAATATATATTTGCTGTCCGGAGCAAGTTGGCATCTCTGATACCATGAGAGGATATGTTTAAATTAGATAGTGATAAAGGAATGCCGTATGAGTTGATATATTTACATACCTGCCAACTTTTAATCCCTTCCATTATAATTTCTCTCAGTGGTATTAAAATGGAATTAAAATTTCAATTTTAAGCAAAAGAATAAGTTGTATTTGAAAAAAATTAAACTGACAGCCATTATAGTAACGCATATTAATATATGTGCTTAATTTTTTTTGAGAATAGTGGTGATCAAAATCATTTAAAAATTAAGTTTATAAAAGAAAAAAATAGTATATATTTACTACCACTTTAAATATGAAAATAAAATTTTACGGCAAATGCGTAAAAGTTGGCAGGTATGTATTTATAAATGCTACCTTTGTGAAATTAAATTAATTTTTTAAAATTGTTTTATGACTTTATTAGCCTGTATAGAACTTATGAGGGAAAACATTTAGTGATTTATTTAAATAGAAATTTACAATATAAAATATGTTTGGATTCACGGAAAGCTATTAATTTATTGTAACATTATTCTTTAATATTTTTTAAATAAACAAGTTCATTTATTTAAATACAGTAATTCAATTTAAACAGTGGCTAATAGGCGGCAGTACTTTTATATATCTGTAGTTATAAACTGATGCCGGCCAAGTGGCCGAGCGGTTAGCGCGCCTGACTGCGAAACCAATGGCTGCGGATTCGAATCCCGCTCTGGGCATGGATGTTTCTCTCTCTATGTGTTGTCCTCTGTTGCACTGTTGCAGTTTGAAGAAACAGCGGGAATGCGAAAATCATGACTAGTGCATATTGAAGATATGTCATGAATAGAAAAGTAAGACTCGTTCAGAGATAAAGGAAACATCAGGTATAGCTAAATAAGACTCGTTTGGAATGAAGAAACATCAGGAATAGATAAATAAGTCCCTCTCAGGTTTAATAAACACCAAGAATGGATAACTAAGACCCGTTCAGATTGAAAAAACATCAAGAGATAGAGAAAAACTTGTATTTGAAGAAACATCTGGAATATGCAAATAAGACTCGTTCAGAATAAAAGAACATCAGGAATAGCTAAATAAGACTCGTGCAAATAGAATAAACATCAAGGAATAGAGAAAAATCGAACTCGTTCAGAATGAAGAAGCATCAGGAATAGGAAAATAAGACTTGTTGTATTTGAAGAAACATCTAGAATATGCAAATAAGACTTGTTCAGAATAAGGAAACATCAGGGATAGATAAATAAGACCCGTTCAGATTGAATAAACATCAAGGAATAGAGAAAAATTGGACTCGTTCAGATTCAAGGAACACGAGGAATAGGAAAATAAGACTTGTTGTATTTGAAGAAACATCTAGAACAGTGGCGTACGCAAGGGAGGTGTTTAGGGATTTAAAGTAAAATTGACATTTAAGACATCTGAAATAACTATTTTACTTGACATTTAAGAAAAAGAGATAATGCGTTGAAAAAATCAATTTAATCTGAATTTATTCACTTCTTTTTGTCAATCTCTAATATCTTTTTTACAGATATAATAACAAAATCTGAAATAACTATTTTACTTGAGATACGTTACTTTACAAAATATATACATTTCTTTCAACAATTCTTTAAAAATTGATTTTACTGGGAGGGCTATCAAAATAACTTCCATCCTTCTGTCTATTCGTTTTACAAGCGGGTTTCAATAAAAAAAATATATAAAATTATAAATATTATCTGCGAAATGAATCCAGATTCGTGTTTCTACAACAAACAGTAAAATCTCATCTAAAATAAATATATGAAATAATCTGATGCAGCATATGAAGTAATATAAATCTGATCTAAATCTGATTCTTTTCCAGAGTTCCTTGATTTTTTAAGACTTCTTTTTTTTATTTTATTTATTCTTATTTGTTTTTTTCTTCCGAGACACGAGACAGTTTTCAAAACAAAGGACAATTTTCTTTTACTTTTTTCGTAGCTTTTTATTATATGATTTTTTTATAGAATTTAGCAGTACACAAAATGAATTTTCTTTCGCGCCTTATCTCACGTTGACAATTTTCTTCGCATTTGCGACCAAAACTCAAAACATTCTATATCTTTTAAAACGTCGTCAATCTGTACCAGTCTTAATTACCTGTTCTTGATAATTCAGATCTTTTCAAGTAAAATAGTTATTTCAGATTTTGTTATTATATCGGTAAAAAAGATATTAGAGATTGACAAAAAGAAGTGAATAAATTTAGATTAAATTGATTTTTTCAACGCATTATCTCTTTTTCTTAAATGTATCTTTTAGAAATACTAGCACATGAATTTAATATGATGATGAAAGTAAATGTGATTGATGTAAATTAAATCAATAATTCCGATTTTTAATAATAAATTTTTTTTTTAAGAAATAAATCTATTCGTTGTTTTCGTATGAAGGCAAATACCTCTAGCAATAACTTCTTTAGATGTAACATTTTAGAAAAGATTTTATCAATGTCTTTTTGTCTTGCTTAATTGGCGAATACTTTCTTTCTGTGTAATATTACAAAAAATAATGAAAAAAAAAAAGGTGAACATTTTAGTTAATCGTGAAATGATCACCCGAAAGCGTAAAAATAGAATATAAAATTTTTAGCTTGATTTTGTAAAGATATTCATAACGGATTTTTTTAAAAAAAAGTGAAAATAGGAAAGTATGAAATAATATAGTATCTATTTAAATCTTCAATTCACATTACTTTAAACCAGTTTAAACGAGTGAAAGAAGTTAAGATTTTAAACATCCGTGGTTAAATACAGTAAGATATACTCAAATAGCTATAGACTTGCGATAAACGCTCTTTTATTTGAATTGCTAATTCTTATTGCCATAAATGCTCATAATTAAATCAATTTATAATTTTATACTCTTATGTTAAATACAACGACAACAATGTTTTTGTATAAGAAACTTGGAAACTTTTTAAAGATAGATAAATACTTCGCTTATACTGTAAAAATATCTCTTTTTAAATGAAATTTTAAAAAAATAAATCATACCTATTTGTTCATACCTTGTTTTTGAAAAAGCGTTATTAACAAGAGTTTAGATTACTTCAGTTTCAAGTGTAATTAAAAGGCAGAAATATATTAGCCAGACTTTGTGTATTACCCATCAAAACACTTTGAAGAATTGACTATCTATGGCAGTGATTATCAAACTTATTTCTTTTACCGCCCCCTTTGAAAATCAATTATTTTTCAGCGCCCCCCATTTTTTATACACCTCTAAAACTTAAAAACCACAATTTCATTACTTTAATTAATTTAGCTATTAGTAGGTTCTGATGTTTAAACTTACATTCTAAACTAGAAATTTTTACCAGTGAGAGCAAATAAAACCCAACTTTATAATATTAATAATATATTTTTTAATCAAATTAAAATAAACAATATAAATATGTAATCAGTTTTCGTTTTTATACTAATCTAATGAGATGGATGAATTTGATGATATTTAATAAGTTTGTTGATATCAGGTTCGATTTTACTCAAAAACAGTCGTAAGTCGCCGCGTTTGGTAACTTGCAAATGATTTCTCTTTTTAGTAAGCAGCGTTGTCACAGCGCTAAATCCACGTTCACACAAATATGACGATGGGAATGCTATCAAAAATCGTTCAACGATAGACCACAATCCAGGGTACAACTGCGGAATTGACTTTTGTAGCCAAAATTGTTGGTAGCCATTTTTGTATTTGATTTTTATTTCCTCGTTCGTTGTCAGTTCTATAAGTTCTTCTTCCAACTGGGGTGATATTGCTATGTTGACATTTGAAAAAGGATCTAACACCCAGTCTGGTATTTCCAATTTCAAAATGTCCTGGAATCTTTCAATGAAATCACTGTGAAGATTTTCCAAATGTTGGCAGTAGACGAGCAAGTCGTCGTTGTTGCAGGATACTGATAAATTGGGAAAATTATGGAACTCACGTCTGCCGATATTCTTTTTGTGTAAGAGCAGCTTGGCTACGAAAGCAGCGACGACATTTTTTGTTTTTATTAAGTTCAAGTCATCGCCTTGAAGTTGGAGATTCATATCATTAAGCAATGTATAAAGGTCTGTCAGGTATGCGATATCATTCTTTGATGTGATGAGGTTTTCGCGCAATTCTGTGTCTTTGTTTTCCAAGAACTCTATGACAGAGTCAAACAGATTGTAAAAACGAGTCAGACAATTTCCTTTTGATAGCCAACGCACTTCTGTGTGAAAGATCAATCTGTTGAAATCTTCATCATTATCAACACAAAGCTGATTAAATAATCTGTCATTTAAAGAGTTATTTCGGATTTTACTGACTGCTCTGATGACATGTTACAATGATTGAAATAGTCGTTCACTTAAATTTCTAGCAACTAAATGCTGTCGATGTATAACGCAATGTATAGCAAGCACATCAGGAATTTTCTTTTTTAAGTACGATATGAAGCCTTTTTGACACCCCGTCATAGCTGGAGCACCATCTGTAGCAGCTGATATAATATTCTTCAACGGAATTCCTTTTTCATCACAAAACTTTTCCAGTGTTTTAAATACGGTTTCTCCTTTCGTATCTGTCTCTAAATTTCTAGCAAATAAAAGTTCTTGACATATTTTTTCATCTTTAATAAATCTCACGTAAGACAAAAACAATGCTTCATTAGTTGGTAAAGTGGACTCATCCAGCTGAATTGAAAATTTACTAGTCTTCAGATGATTGCGCAATGACTTTTCAATGTTTTCAGCCATTTCATCAATTCGGCTTTGTACAGAACTATTGCTCAAAGGAATTTTTCGAATTATATCTGCCGCCGGTTTGTGGAGCACAGTAGTTATAACTTCTTTTATCGCCGGCCAAATTAACGTTTCTCCGATGGAGTGGGGTTTACCTGTTTGAGCAATTAATAGAGAGATATTGTATGAAGCTCGAAGTCCGTCATCGTCTTGCTTAGCAGCCATCGAAAAAAGTTTCGATACACTTGGCTGAGCATTATGCTTCTTTTCCAGATCTTGAAAATAGGCTACATTTTTGTCCTTCTTATCCGGACGCATTTTATTCAAATGGTCTTGAAGGCTTTATCGCTTCGTTTGAAAATGTTTTTGAACAAAGAAGGCACAATGGCAAATATGGGTTTGTCGAATTTTCTACGAGTCCATATTTAATATACTCTACTCTACACTGTATTGCCGTCTTTTTTACTTCCGACATGGCTTTGTTTTCAAACATATGTAAATAAAGTGTTAAACTTAAATACTTGTTTAAAGATAGCGCTCGAAACCATAAATGAAAATATAAGAAATTAGTTAAGGTAAGGAAAATATAAGAATGTAATTAAGGTACAATTGCTCTAATTTTTTTTAACTATCATCGATCATGTTCCTTTATCTATCCGCAGAAACTTGTTACAACTTGATTGCGTACGGCGTGCGGGCCATCCTACGAAATCTGTGTTAAGTATTTTAAGTTTTTATAACATCATACAGGGTAGAAATCTAAACTAATTATTCGTTATTGTGTAGTAGGTGGGTTTTAATTTTAGTGAAATTTAACGCCCCCCTAACCCACATCAACGCCCCCCATTTTTTCTGGGCCCCTTAACGCCCCCATCTTGGTTTCAAACGTCCCCAAGGGGGCGTTATCGTCCACTTTGAGAAAGACTGCTTTAAAGACATCGAAAAAACTTTTTTTTCACAGTATCTACATTAAGGCTTCCCAGTATTGATGCCCAATATACAGTTCATTCACCAGGAATTGGCACTTTACTCCAACTCCTCGGACGCAGAGTTCATTTCAGCGAGGGAGTTAGAAGAGAAGCATTTCCGCCCTTGAAATTGAGACAACCCTTCATGCGTGCCAAATACAAATTGTGACTTCTTTTTCTGTCACTTACTTCGCTTTATCATCTGCTAATATACGTTTCTCTAGCTATTTAAATATATTTTAAACTTAAAAACTGCTGTTTTCCCAGCAAAATGTCTCAAAAAGGACCAACTCTCTTCACTCAAAAGAGAGAAATGCCATAAAAATGGCGCAAAATATCAAATTAATGAAATATTCAATGTTAAAAAAATGCAGATAAAGTTTTCGAAACAAATATTTTTGCCATACGATCGCCAAATAGCTAATACGATCGCTAAAAACCTCCCAAAAATAGCAAGTATAGTAGCATACTACGCGATGAAGGCGGAGCCAAGGACCAACTCCAGGTGAACGAGCTATGTAATATAACTATTAAAATTGCATAAATTACCATATTACCAGCAGTGTCTATAATTAAAACGAGGCATCATTGGTGTCAATAATAATTTTGCGATTGTTTTTAATTTCTCCTAAATTAGTAGCATTTCTCTACTAATTTTGCAATAGTTCTTAAAATACACTGGTTATCATAAATTAAGGAAAATTCACAAAAATCGCGATAACTCAAGAAATTACACATGGAATTTTATGAAACTTACCCACAATATACAACACATAGTAAGGTATTAAACAACATAAAAAGAAATTATCAGACATTAATAGTAGTATAGAAATTAGCACATGTATAAAATAAACAAATTGGAAGTATCGGTTTGCAATAGAAAAAGTACCTTTAATATGGAATATGATTGCCTCTAGAAGCAATACAGCACAAACAGCGATGTGTGATGCTTTCAATTATGCGGTCTATCAGTTCAATAGGAAGTGAGAGCCATTGCTCTTNTATATACGTATTTCCATTTTATATAAAAGTGATGATTCTTGCATCAGTAATTTCTTATAAAATGCTGTAAAATGCCCTTATGTTAAAAACAAGAAAGAAAGTAAAGAAAACTTCAATTTATGTTAGTTTACGTATGTATAATATTTTAAAACTCTGCATGGTAGTTTTTTTCCTAATGTTTAAAATAATTTCTGATGCAATGTAATTAAGGTAAAATTGCTCTAATTTTTTAACTATCATCGATCATGTTCCTTTATCTATCCGCAGAAACTTGTTACAACTTGATTGCGTACGGTGTGCGGGCTATCCTACGAAATCTATGTTAAGTATTTTAAGTTTTTATAACATCATACAGGGTAGAAATATAAACTAATTATTCGTTATTGTGTAGTAGGTGGGTTTTAATTTTAGTGAAATTTAAAATACTATACAACACCCCCCTCTAGGTTTCAAACGCCCCCAAGGGGGCGTTATCGCCCACTTTGAGAAAGACTGATCTATGGGACTAGAGCCCCTGAATTAGACAGGCCGACTTATCATTTATTGTTGGAGCAAAGAGCTAATATAAGCACAGCGAATAAATATTTTCAAGTGGTAATTTATTAATTGCAATTCTTGGTTTAATAAGTTCGATTTAGTACATGTTAATCCACCACTATTTCTAAAGAATGCGTAGGCTTATTTAATTCACCATTTTATTGTACTTACTACATGCTTTATATTTTTAAAAGCAAGCAAATATTGTCAACTATTTGCAAAATTTACTTTGTAGTTTACCGTTTTTTAAATTATTTTGGCGTGTCTGTAATAAACGTTGCATTTGATATCATACTTATAATTTTTGATTTTTAGTGGTGAAAAAATTACTTAAAATGAAAAATACTAAAGCCGTATTTCAGGGCCGGAAAGTATAAAAACTGAGCCGTACGCGGAGGGTTAACTTTCTATTCTATTTCATGATGTATGGGATATGGGCCTTCTGCCAGCCCAGGTGCCCAATTTTCCATAAATAAAGAAGAAAGAAAGAACTGTGTTAATCCGCACGAGCCTGTTCAAAAATAGCGTATGCTTCTGCTGGAAATTGTAATTTATATTCCATTTTACTACCACTGGGGAAAATTACCCTTGGAAGGATTAAATGTTGGCAAACTTAAGCAATTATAACCTCTCAAAGCTGACGATTATCTCGGTACACAGCCGCAAAGCGACTTTACCCGATTCATTGAAGTAAAGAAGAATTATGACGTTAAAACTGACGATTGATGTAAAAATGCATTATTTAATAAATATATTAATCATTGGAAAGTGGTAGTTTTTTAACAGTATATAACTGAATTAATTTTGAATTATTATTTTTTCTTTTAAATAAAAAACCATTTTTATTGTTTGTTTCGGCTTGCAAGGTATCTTAACTTACTTAATCACCAGTCCACCCTTTTTGCGATACAATAATACCACAAAATTGCATGCATAAAATCGGTTTTACGAATAAAAATTGTCAAAATTAAATGCTGTGAAATTTTGCAATTTTTATCTTAATAAAGTTATAATTTTAGAGTAAAGTTGAAAAAATGATTAGAAAAAAAATAGTTTCTTCAAATTTCATTTATTTTACGTTAACGAACACATATTACATATAATTTTTGGTTACATCGAAAACATCATTAATAAATAAAAATGTTATATTTAAAACAGATTTTGATTCTTTTTCATAATAATTAAGCAGAAATTAATCAAATTGAAATATAGATTTAAAATTAAAATAAAATTCTTTTCACGGTGGAGTTCAACCAACGCCTCCTATAACTGAAAGCCTCCACACGGTTTTTTGTACGTATTCCGATCAGACCACAATGAAGGTAAACTAAACCAAGTACTGAAAGAACTATTTAATATCATATCTATTAAGAATTAGAAAGTGGTAGCAAATATATGTCTAAAAATTTTTTTAATTTATGAATATTATTGGTTTGTTTTGTTTACTTGTCAACCACTACAGATTCAATTCTCAAATATATATGATAAATTTCTCTCAAGTACTTTTAAAATAGAATTTGGGTTCATGCGCACAAGTGGTTCGCTTTTTAAATGATCTGAGCAGACTACTTATAAGAAACCGCGTGGAGTCTTTCTGATGTAGGAGGCTAGACTAGACTAGATATGTTGTAATTCAAAGTGCCTGCCCGCGAAGCGGGCATCTGACTTTTTCATCTCTTAGTGTGTGCCCTTGGGCGACTATGACTTTTGGCTTTGGTGAGATGTAGGAGGCAGGGCTGAAAGCCCATATATATCGAGACGGAAAAGAGTAAAAACTGGTAACAAATAAATTTCAATTTTTAGTTTTTATCCGGGAATAATGAAAATTTATAACTATCAATTGTTTTTAACGGATGCAATTATTATATTGAATTACTTCTTCGCCGTGAAAAATTTCCTTACAGTGAATTGTTATTTTTGAGAATAGATGAACTCCTCCCGAATATTAACTAATATTGAAATAGTTCTTTTACCAGTATTTTCTCTTTTCCGTCCCGCTTTCAGTCCTGGTAGGAGGTGATGGTTCAAATCCTGGTATTGTAATATTTTGCAAGAAAATAAAACAAATCAACCATATTAAGGGCGTATTTTAAGGTCAGAAGTTACATACGAAGATTCGACTTTAAAATTTTATTCATGTCTTACTAAAATCTTGGATAAAATGTAATGTTTATGTGAAGATAATGTTATCGGAAAAAATACATTATGATTAACATACTGATTAAGATTCGGCGAAACTTTATCACCACCTCTTATCAGGAAACAAAGACAAAGATCTAGATCTGATTGATCCAAGTAGGTGTTACTTTTCATGATTTATACACATGCAGTTTGGAGATATATAACTTAACGTCTACTTTCTTCTTAAAAACTTCCACGAATTTTTCAATTGGTGATCCGCGAGCTACTAGTGGTACGCCAATTGTATTTTATGGCCCGTTGAAACTGAGATCGTCTTACGACGATCACAATTCTCTTCATTTTTTTTTATTTTAGCATGGTTTTATGCTTTTATAAAATAAATTGCGATTATTAACATAAATTTTACTCTGCCTTTTATAAGTATCAACCTACTTTTTATTATTTTTGTTTTTGCATCTAGTCAATATGATAAATTTTTCTACGACGATGTATTCACCATTAAAAGCAAACGGTGACAAAAGCGAGAACTTTTGATAATCGCTTAAAGTTAGTTTTGATAATGGCTTAAAGATAGTATTAAAGGTTATAAACTAACTTTAAGCGATATCAAATTAGAATTTTTAAAAAAATAGCGGCAAATTTATAAATGAAAATAGAACTTTCTATTTTTGAATAAATATTTCTCTTGTTGTATATATATATGTTCTAGAAAATAGAACTTTCTAATTCCAATTCTGTAACCCATATCTATAGATCACAGACAAGAGTTACAGAACAGGGTATTTTTACTACAAATTTAACAGTTAATAATTCTTGAGCTAATTATCAATAATTAATAATATTATTATTAACTATTAATAATATTATTATAGTTATAATAATATTTTCATTCTTTGAGCAATTTTTTTAAATTATAAATTACTCAAATGAATTATTTTCCAAATATTTTTTTCTTTTCATTGATAACAATGAGGAAAAGTTGACATAAAAAATTAGGAAAGAAAATTAGTGTTTTTCTGGACCTTAAAAAAGTGTTCAAAACGATTTGCTTAATTGTTCAAAAATTAAAAGGGTGATTTGTTTTTATTTCTTTTGCTAACAGTACAATAAATTTGGTGTGAAACGGCTCAGAATTCTGGAATTGTAAAAGGAATTCTCAAAGACATTCTTTTTTCTTTACAGTTTGCACTAGGGAACAATTTTTATTTTTATTTTATTGCAAAAGATTTTTGAATGGATCTTAAATATTTCCGCCTGGCTCATTTCGGCTCAATCGGTTTCTCTCTACAAGCTACAGTTTATATGCAATACAAGGAATTTTTAAAATTTCCTCGAGTGAATATTCCCACTTCTTTGTTGCGTAAGGCATGGTAGGCAGAAAGCGATAATGCATTTTAGTTTATGATGTTAAGGTCAGATGTTTTATGTCTTATGTACGATTTTCAAAGGACCGACAAGTGAAAATGAATGCATAAAAAACTAGATACGTTCTTTATAAACTTGTACATCCAGACAAAATATAAACTGAATTAAACACATATGATTTTGAAAAGAAAAAAAAAATTATAGCTTTTCGAACAAAACGAATTTTAGTTTTGAAATATTTGCACCCGAATTAGCTTATGTTAAGAACTTGNGCGGACTGTACATCCAGACAAAATATAAACGGAATTAAACACATATGATTTTGAAAAGAAAAAAAAAATTATAGCTTTTCGAACAAAACGAATTTTAGTTTTGAAATATTTGCACCCGAATTAGCTTATGTTAAGAACTTGTTTAAATCTAACAAAAAAATTGTTTCCCAGTGTTAAAAACATATGCCCTCTCTTAAGTAAAAAAATAGTAGTCTGTGTTCCACAAAAGTTGTTAAATGTAACATTGTATTTTAACTTTCTACCACTATTTAATTATTTTTTGATTTATAAGTATTTATAAAATGTCATGCAACTCGTTTGCATTGGTCAAAACATTACTCCTGTCATTTTATCAGGTTACGGGTAAGACATATATTAATATATGTCTAGCCTGTATAGCTTAACATGAGAACTTCGTGGCATTGCTGTTCGCCATAATGTTGCTAGGGTAGGGATGAATCAGACGGATAAAAGTCTAGTCCGAGTGTAAGTTTTAATGGGAGCAGTGATCGACTAGTTTATTGATTGGTAATTTTAATTTTTTTCTCTTTTCACACAACTTGAAAATCATAGATTTTAAATTTCTTATTCTACTTTCGTTTTCGCATTTAATCGAAAATTTCAAGAAAATATTTGAAATTATCTAATTTTGTCTTTACGAACGAAACCTAGAGATACGGATATCTTTTTTTAATTATATCATTTGTAATCAGAAATCATTGTAACTGGGCATTGTTTTCTTATTTTGAAACAGTTGATAACAGCCCAGCTTATCGTATAAAATGAAAGTTTTAACTAGTAGTTAATCTAAGAAGAGAACTACACTATGACTCCTTTGCTCTCTTTCTTTTTTCTTGTAATTTGTGGTCTTTATAGTGAGTATTTTATATATGTTTATACATTTTTTTGAATTGTTGTATTGTTAATATTCATTCACGTACATTAATATTAGATGTAATATATTTACTTAAAATAACTGTATTTACCAGTGATCTTGAATATAGATATGAAATAGAATTGGTGATATATTTAAGCGAAGATAGTTATTCGTAGGGGCGGTATCAGCCTTCCTTGCAACTGGGATCGTACGGTTTTTGTTATAGCAGAGATAAGAAAATCAGAAATATATTTTTTAAGTTTTTCTTTGCCATTGCGTTTAATAATTCAAAATAATGATATGTTGTTAATAAATGATAAGTTTTAAATTTTTAATTCAAAGTGTAAGCGAATAAAATTGAATAATGATATTTACTATTTTTTTCTGAAAATCAGGGGTGATAACGAGACGGAAAAGAAGAAAAGTGGTTAATAAATTCACTCCAGTTATATATAGTTAGTTACATAAGGTCGTAAGGAGCAAATCTGCAACCATTAATGCTTTAATGTAAGGTCGAGGTACCTGCCTTGCGGCACTTGCCTCTTCATCTGAGAAATATTTGCCAAATGCAACGGAAGTATGCAATAAAATAACAGTACAATAATATTAAAGATATATACAATGGTTCACAGGTGCCCACTGGGTAACGCGAAATGAGCAACAATTCAGGAATAGTATAGGCAAAGATTCAAATTCAGTGCCTGCCATCAGGGGGGAAAAATTAATTATATGATGAAATACAAGTACGAATACGAGAATTACGCATAACGTTAAATATTTGCATAATCGAAAAAAAAATAATACCTACATATTTACGACGTAGTAAATAACAAAATCGAAAAAGAAAAAATAGTATATAAACATTTACAAACGGAGCGAAATATTAAATGATGTAGATCATTATCGAAAGAAGGAATTAATGTTGTAGTTTTATATATATTCAGTAATTGACTGCGCATGCGCGGAAAACATCAAAAATAAAATTCTTCATATTTTTTTTTCGAATCGTATTTGGTAACTTATGAAAAAAGTCCAATTTAAATATCTTAAAAATGTAAAAATAACTCTAGCGAATTTCTAAATAGCTTTTGTACTTCTTTTATTAAAAGCTCCAAATGATAAGAGGTTTTCAACCAATTTCATTTTTTATCATAAAGCGAAATTCCATAACAAATAATAATACCATAGATTGATTGTCCGGACAACAAAACGTGATGGTATTAGGAAATAAAACATCTGAAAAAAAAAAGAGTGTAGTCTTATATAATGTCGATGTCATCTCCTGTATACATATAAAAATGAATGTCAGTAAGTGTGCATCGCTTATAGATTTCTAAGTCATCCAATCGAAATCGATGAAATTCGGCATATAGATAGTTTGAAGTAGGAAAGTCACTAACGACATTAGAACATTTTACGATGAACCATTCGAGCGGGATTAGTGAAAATTTAAAAGAATTTTCTAATTGGTTAAGGGTTAGCCATTGTTTTAAATCAATTTTTCCCATGAATCAATTTTTCACGCATTTCAATGATAACATTAGTGATAATTGCTAGCAAATTAGATAAAAAAATACTTTCTTGCACGTATTTAAATATTAAATTATTTTATTTTTGCTTTGTCAGATAAATTGAACGAACAACATTACGTGGCAGCACGCGTGGCATACATCACCAAATTTATACTTTTAAAGTTGTCTGATACCACGTGCTTTTTTTAAATTTTTTATTTGTATCAATTATTTTAACACGTGTTTCTACGAAATTAATTATTTAAAATCAACAACAATTTGACAAACTACAAGAAAACGTAGTTTTGCTTATTCCAATAACGTAAAGCAATCGCAAAAGGCAACCAACACCATTTAAAAAAATTGAAATCATTTGACCTATTTTAATTGAAAAACTAAGTGGAAGAACAAGGTAAGTGGCATTTCCGGAAGAAAAAAAAAAGTTTAATCCGAACTATTTTATTACCAGTTTATTAGAAGACTAGACTAATGATTCTTCGCTTTATTTTATCTACCGTTGCCTAATTTGAAATGAAAATCAAGCAAGCACTTAAAAAAATATTGTGGATTAGTAATGTTAAGATTAAAGCGAAAGCAAAAACAGTTCTGTTGCAATAAACTAGAGGTCACCAAAGTGGTCTATATAGACTCCCAGGGATCTATTTAACAAAAGTGGTGGTCGATCTGGGCCAGGGGGTCGATCTAAATCGGAAGTGTCGATTGGGAGTTGAAGAAAAAACAGTTCTTAATACGCAAATCACACATATTACCTACTTTATTCTGGTGAAACAAGTATTACGTACCAACGCGCAGTGGTACGAACTCTGCACTTCTGGTTTATAAGTCATATAATGCAAAATATGTAAAACTTTACGAAATAGTTCAGCCATTTATACTAGCATTTCCAAGTTCCTATATGGTTGAAGCCGGTTTCAGTCACGTAAATTCAATCTTAGCTAGGTACAGAAATAAATTAAATGAGGAGTTTCCAAGGGATTTGAGATTAAAATTGGCCAATTTTGAACCCAATATAGCAAACCTTGCAAAAAAAAAAAAAAAAAAAAAAAAAAAAAAAAAAAAAAAAAAAAAAAAAAAAAAAAAANATTAAGGAGCAATAAATCTGTAGTTACTTTATTTATTATTTCTACTTATTTATAATTACTTATTATTTAATAAATATTAAGGTACTTAAATTTCAACATCATTATATTTTTCATTAAACTATTGTTTCAAAATGTACCATTACTTTAATAAATGTTTAAAATCATAAAATAAATGTACAAACACAGTATCTAATAGTGTTTTATTTTAATTAACAGAAAATTACTTTTATGGGGGTTACTGGATATTTCGAAGAACTATATAGGGGTCGATGATCAAAAAAATTTGGCGACCCATGCATTAAACATACCCATATTGATGCAACACTTTATGCCATTTTCTCTGATTCATTAATTCCCTTAAAAATGTCACTTAATTCGTTTCTCCATCAAGCTCTTTAGTTGTGTCGGTATTTGCCTTTTATTTTAATTCATTTATTTTAATTAACAGAAAATGATTTTTATGGGGGTTGATGGAGATTTCGAAAAATTTTGTAGGGTCGATGATTAAAAAAATTTGGCGACCCATGCATTAAACATACCCATATTGATGCAACACTTTATGCCATTTTCTCTGATTCATTAATTCCCTTAAAAATGTCACTTAATTCGTTTCTCCATCAAGCTCTTTAGTTGTGTCGGTATTTGCCTTTTATTTTAATTCATTTATTTTAATTAACAGAAAATGACTTTTATGGGGGTTGATGGAGATTTCGAAAAATTATGTAGGGTCGATGATTAAAAATATTTGGCGACCCATGCATTAAACATACCCATATTGATGCAACACTTTATGCCATTTTCTCTGATTCATTAATTCCCTTAAAAATGTCACTTAATTCGTTTCTCCATCAAGCTCTTTAATTGTATCGGTATTTGCCTTTTATCTTAATGCATGATTTCGTAATGTTTTTCAGTACTGATTTGTTCAATCTGTACCTTTTTCATCAACCCAGTGCGACGTTCGAGTTTTCAGCTAGTTTTTAATAAATCGTGTTTAATGGTACTAAATTAAATAAGTGGAAAACCCCTTTCTATTTAAACCTTTCGTTCCAATTTAACAAAAGCTATTTATAAAATTCCTAAAACCTTTTTAAATTCTTCAGATATTCAAATCGAACTTTTTTTCGTAATTTATCAAATACGATTCAAAATAAAATTATGAATTTAAAAAAAAATGTGTTCCGCGCATGCGTAGTATGAAAATATTACTTTAAATACTCATATCTCGTGTAATTTGTAAAGATTTTTTTTAAATTTTAAAATGCTACTTTTATTATTAATTAAGAATTATTTTTAAATTTCTCTAGCTAATTAAATATATTTTAAATTTAAAAACTGCTGTTTTCCCAGCAAAATGTCCCAAAGAGAACAAATTATTCGCTCAAAAGAGAGAAATACGTTAAAAATGGCGCGAAATATCATCAAATTTATGAATCCAAATAGCAACCTTCTCTCAAAAATGGCGAAATAGTATCGTTACATACGACAGGATAATGAGATAAGATGGAGCCAAGCACCAAATCCTGGTGAAACGAGCTATATCTCTGTGATAATCCATTACTCAAGCTTTTTGGCAAAGCTTAGTAACGGTAAAATAAACGAGGGATGTAATTATTCACATAAACGAAATAATTTAGCGGGGTAATTTAAAATTAAAACTTTTTTCAAAAAATTTTAGTGGTAGTTTAACAAATGCTTTTATTCATATTAAAAGTGGCTAAAATTTGACTGACGGTACTCACAGTAAACAGTTTCAAGTAAAATTTCAAATGTATGTTGTTTGGAAAGAGCAACCAAAGTTTCAGTCGAGAAAAATGTTTCGTAATGTTGCTGGCACGTGGTGCTACAACGAGGTTAAAAAAAAAAAAGGTAACAGCTAAAAAAAATAATAATAATTTCATTAATTTTTATACCTATGAACATACCAACATATCTTGACAGTCAATAATATATAAAGGATTGCATGCATCCAAAATTTACGTACGTTTTCAGCATCTGTGGATAAAATTGAATATACCATCTATGAATGAAATTTTGAAATATATTTTTTCAACCACGCTATATATAAATATTTATTTCATACTTCTACTTTATATTACATAGTTATTATTTGTATAGTTTTTCTCATTTCTAGTAATTTTTCCAATACTACATATCAAAAATTAAAAGCTTCATAGAAAATGCAATTCTTCATAGACAATGTTATTTCATGGAAATTCTTAAAAGTGGTTTTAATTAATAGTAACGGCTGTTCCTCCTTTCTTGCTTCGAAGAGCAACTTACTTATGAGGGAAACATAAACATTCAAACGTAAACAGTTTAAAGGCTCCGCCCTGTTTGCATTGTGTCTATAATCACATAAGTAAGGAATCTACAGCAATAGTGTCTACTTTTGTTTTACTTAAATTTGACTTTTTTTTCAATAAGGCATAATCTATAGTCTTTGACCAAATAAACTTAGATATTTAATGGGAGCTAGCTAGATCAAAAGAAAAGACATCCTAACGTAAAGATTATTTAAAGATTTTACTTGGAAGATGGTCCTACTCCATCTAAAAAATGAAGGCACCGTCATTTCGTGTTCATACAAGTCATTATTCTTTTATTTTAGAATTAATTCTACTCCAGCTTATTTTTACTGCCAAAAAAAACAAACAAAAAAAAAAAAACCATACATATCAGATGATATGAAAATTAATCCCCTCAAGAATTTAAAGTTCTGTATCTCAAATTCAAAAAGAATGAAATCGTTCGACAATTCAAACAAGGCTTAAATCTGAAGAGAACTTTTTGCACTTTTACGTATTTAACATGGATGTTTTGAAACTATTAAATTATTTCTGATCTGAAATTTTGCTTACAGGATCAACAAATGCAGATTGCCCACTGGAAAAAAGTGAGCAGTGGAGTTATAATGCGCATTTGAAAAACGGTAAGTTACATGTTTTAAGTTGATTGTGTGGTAGGATGATTTACAGTAATTCTATGATGACATTTCGTTAAATAATTAGTATAAAGTTATGCACCAACTTTACAGACGACACAATATAAATGCATAACAGATGCATACCTGCCAACTTTTAATCCCTTCCATTATGATTTTTCTCAGTGGTATTAAAATTGAATAAAAATTTCAATTTTAAGCAAATAAATAGGTTGTATTTGAAAAAGCTTAAGCAGCCTACCATGACAGCAACGCATATCAATATATATGCTTAAGTTTTTTAAGAATAGTGGTGACGAAAATTATTTAAAAATTTAAATTATAAAAGAAAAAAATAGTATATATTTACTACCACTTTAATTATAAAAATAAAATTTTACGCCAAATGCGTAAAAGTTGGCAGGTATGAAGATGAAACACACTTCATTGTTNATATGGAGAGAGAGAGAGATATCCCCCCAAATCATATTACATGTGGCAGAAGTAAACTAATTAAAACACGTAGAAATTTGCTAAATTTTCTAATTCCACAAACACTTCAATTTAAACAATAATAATATCAACTTATCAGCTTAAGTATCAGATTCTAGGAACGGTATAAAATTTCGTACTACTGCAGTGATTAAAAATATGTGAAAAGCAATGAACAAATTTTATGTCACGAGTCTTACAGCTACTTCGAGGTTGTAGATAAGATGAAAAAAATATTTTCGGAATATAACTTTCGGAAGTATAACCTTCCGAAAATGTAATTTTTAGTAGAGAGACATAATAACTAACAGGGGAATGCAAATTAGGAAAGAAATCTTGAATTATTCATTGCAAAAGTAAAGTTTGCTAGAATGTCCACATTTTTCAAAGGTATTGAGAAAACTTGAAAAAATAAAATTGTGGATAGCAAACCAAAATAAGGTGAAGGAAGGGGATATATTCAAGTATTCCAACTAGTAAATATACATTCTTTCCCTGTATTTTATTTTTTAAAATCTCAATGTAACAAAAGTGTGTTACTTAATTAAAAATTCCATTTATAAACATTCCTAAATACATTAATTAATTGCGTGGAATTTTACCTTTATACAGCTGTCAATTTAACCTTTTTTGAAATTATTATCTCTCCATTTGGAGGAAGAAACTAGACAAACGTCAAGTCCTTTCTCATCCTAGTATGCCAGCAAATCTGCTGGTGAACTTATGAAGTTTGAGTTTCCTCGAAGCATCTCAAAAATGTTTTGTAGATTTAGAACTGTTCACTTCATGAGCATGAGATTTGAAATCAGAAACAAAAAAAAACTTCCCATCCGGATTAAACTGCAACATCCCAGCATCTGTGAAGTTCCTCTTAGACTGCTTCTACCGTGGAAAATTTATTCCTAAGAACATCAATAGTTCTCTCAAAGTTAATGAAACATTTGTATTTCAAGGATCTGATTTAGAAAATTCAAGCAATAGAGATAAGTCCTACCACCACCTTTTTGTAGGAAGATATTTTTCAGTTTTCAGTGGCATAGTTCTTACTTTTATTGGCAGAGGGGGTGGAGTTTAAGGAAAAAAATGCTTTAAAGAAACATTTACCTTGAAATCTGATTTGATTCCAAGTGTTAATACAGTATTGAAGAATGTATTTTTACACTTATGTGTATCACTTTTATATTTATCTGTAGTTAAAAAATTATTACATGAGCATTTTTTCCTGAAATGTTGAAAAGTTTCGTAGTTAGTACAAAAAATAAGATAATCCGAAGTAGGTATTTAATTATAATTCTCTAATCAAATTTTGCCACAAAAGTGCAGTAAGGTTTAGGATTATATGTAGTAACAGGAAATGTTTGCTGTTTGTTATCAGAAGAGAAGTTATCAGGAAGACAATTTAGTGATGCTTTCACTGTATTGTCTATTATTGTAAACCTCAGCTCTTTACTTTATCTTGCCATCTTACCTTTAGTTTACCATTGCCTAGATTATATTATCTTTGATTATTGATTACCTGTTGCTATTATAAATAATTAGTTTTTTCTTATCTGAAAGTTTGAAAACAAAGGGATAGGAGAAAAATAATTTTTGTTTATTTATTTATTGCTGATCATATATATGGATACTTGTGTGCTCATTATAAGATAAGCCAATTTTTATTAATATTCAGGAATCTTTTAAAATTTGATATTTTTCTTTATTATTCTATAAGCATTTAGAATAAAATAATATTTACAGATAATCAAGATGTATCGCTATAAGTTCATATGTTTATTTTAAAATTAAACTTACATATTAAAACTAGAACTGTTTCTACCATGAAAAAGAGAAAAAGAATTGGCAGTAAAACCAGTTTATATTTCCCTTGCTTTCGACTGTAGTAAAGCATAGCTCCCTTGATATAAGATGCAACGAAGTACCTGCCCACGGTAGCGGGCATCTCACTTCTTCATCGGATAAATTTGCCCAAGGGCAACTATGACTAATGGCTTTAAAAGTGGTGAGAATTTCCAAAGGAGGACTGTGGACGTCTTGATGGGAGTAGTGGCTTGGAGGATGATCTCTACGTCTATGGCTTTCCGTCGAGTAGGAATCGGGGTAGGCTGACTAGTTCTTGATCTTCAGTAACTGCTGCATCCCCTTGAAGAGTAGCAGGAATCTCGTAGTTGGGTAGGAAGTTTTCCTTCTCTTGGCTAGGTTTCCTCTCTGTTTTCTTTTGGGTCTTGCACTGCAGCCTGAAAAACAGGCTAGGGCTGGGTGCTCACCATGACAATTTATGCACTTAGCCAGTTCGCATATCAATTTCGTTTTAACTTAATAAAAAAAACAAACATGGTTTTACTACCTGTTTTTTATCATTTACGGGGTACAAACAACTCTGGATATTTTACTGAATTGCTATGTTTATTCATGGAGTTTTTGCTAATAAACCTAGGTCCAGAATATTGGGGTGAAACTTTCCCAGCATGTTATGGACGAAAACAATCGCCGATTGATATTGTGACTGCAGATGTTGTAAAAGATGAAAATCTAGAAAGACTGCAGCTTACTAACTACGACAAACCACTTACAAGAGCTATTTATGAAAATAATGGACATTCAAGTAAGTTATGTTTTGTTTCTAGAGTGCTGATTTAACGAAAATAATAGTAATCTTTCATTAGTTTAATTAGAATGCACAGTTTTAAAAGGGAAAAATAATGCATATCATCATGTACAGGGTGACTGAAAAGTCAAGTCTGGGAAGAAAAAAAAATCATGAGAAATGCGTGCAAGATTAAAAATCAAAATCTAAATGCAGGCAAGTTAGATAAATTTCAAAAGATTTATTGGAGCATATAAACTCCATGTCTAATTTCTCCTTCAGAGGCTTTTAGGGAACCAACTTCAAAATCTTATATGAGAATAGCTATTTTTGTTGCAGATTTGAATTTTTCAGAAAAAGTAAATCAATTTTACTTACAACTGTTGCATTTTTGTTCAAGGAGGGCACTTTTCTCACAAAATGAACTGGGGTATCGTAGCAGACTAAGGTGAATCGGATTGCAAGAGCTTGGCTCCATTCCCCTTCATGGCACAATGATTTCCTTAAAAATTAAACGTTGTTGGTAACTATTTAATGACATCGAATTCGATCTTTATCCCTTAACTCAATCCCTAGAAGATTCCTCAGATTGAGGTTAGGTGTAATAATTGCTTTTTCAAAATATGAAACACTTATATTACTTCGATCTGTCTTATCTTTCGTGAGATATCTCTATTTTAGGAAGTTCGTGCGCAACAATTTAATTTGTTTAATTTTATGACAGTTGGAATGAAATGTAATAACATATGAGACGAATTGGTGTAGTTTCTCAAAAAGTGCACATTAGCAAAAAAAAAAAAAAAAAAAAAAAAAAAAAAAAAAAATTACAATTTCTTCTGCCTCGCTTCAGAGGAGTGTGCTTGGGAGTGAAATTAAGCATCAATAAATTTATCATTATAAAATATTTCAACAGGTATATCTGAAAGATATTTGACCTTTACCAGATTTTTTTTACCCTCTTAACAGACATATGTCCCTGACATTTACTTAATTGTACACAGGGTCCAAGAAACGGAGGAGGGGGAAGTTGGGGCTTTTGCCCTTTTGTATTTATAAATCGGACACAATCAGAATACAATCAGAATCAAAAATAAAATTTTTCATTCAATATTTATGTAATTAAATTTACCATTAAAAAAAAGGCATATTTTTTGTGTGACCGAATTCTAAAACGAAATATCGATTTCAGATGAACTGTAACATTTCCTTGATGAACACTGCTACGAAATCATTCCTTATTCCGCAGAGGAAATAAACGTCCTCATTACTGACCGAACACTATATATATATATA